CTTCTCTAAGGGCCTTTATCTTGTTCTATTAGTAAAATGTGCCTTTGTGCTGTATTTATGTGTTTACTTAAATATAGAGTGGCCTTTAACATATGTACCCTGACGGATTGTACAAGAGATGTTGGTGGTGCTGGGTATGCAATAGTAGCCAGCTTTTACTAAAGAAGCATATGGAAGCACTGTTACTTTTAGATGTCAGATAGATCTAGCCACTGTTGTCAAGAACAACGTATATATAATGTGAAATTAAAGCACAATAACAAAAAATAGCAGCAAACAGAGGAAAAGTCAGTCCTTATGTCATACTGAGACAGTCTATACCTTCTATAAAACCCTTATATACAGTTGAGGTTAAGTATTAAAATCGCTTACAAGAACATACATCCTTTTTCAATGACATTATACCATATTGTGCTGGTTGGAAGACATGTAGACAAAATACTGACGGAAATTATCACATAGCTATTTTTTCTTTTCCATCTGCAATGCTGACATATTTTTTCTAATTTCTTCACTATGTACCATTTAGTTAATAGGCCACTTTGTACTTAAACATCCTCAGTATTTATTTAGGGTATTTAACAGAGCGTACTGATGCTTCATGGATCCTTTGTCTTCTAAACTCGCAAAATGGGTCAATGAGTTCCCGAAATGTTGTATTAATTACCAGAAGAAAAACCTCACTGCTCATACATTGCCATGTGTGCAGTTATCTATTCTTTACTATTACTGAAAATGAGGACATGTCTAACAGATGAGAAGATAATGCAGTTCCACCTTATCTTATAAAACCTTTAGGTGACCTTTATCTAATGCCATTTCTACATTCCTTTAGTAATTACATTTGTTCTGTTTGTCATTTGATTTTGCATAACCCTGCAGTGCTTCCTCCGAGTTTACCATCCCCCGTTGCAAAATGTATTATTTATACAAAGAAATGCAACCAGGTATTTTGGTTTATTTGTAAATTGTTAATTCTCTCGACTTTCAACTAAGCTTGCTCTACGCACTTAATGCTCTATGCATTAATAAAATAACTCAGACAGAAAAAAAACAATTTGTAAAAACTTATTCTATTTGTTTATTGATGATGTGAACGCAGAAGAAAAAAGATTTTCAATAAATATTGTATGTTCAGAGTATTACCACATAATGTGCTTGTTTTTTGAGTAAATTAAACCACAACTCAGAAGTGGTGTTTTAAAAGTACCTCATTATTATTCTTGTTCAAAATCCAAGAACCATTTTGCTTTCATTTCCTGTAGTGTCCTAAAATTGATGTGTTTTTGACAGATTATGAGAGCATTTTTAAAAAGCCTTTATTATAATCTTTGCAGCATTACATATGGTAATATGTTCTGTACTCTGATATATCTGAATATAAATTAATTTCTCCGGTATAGTTGATACTGTATATTATATACGATGTGTTCTGGCATCCAAATAAAACTGACAAAAGTTTAGTGAGACCTTTCTTCTCAACTGTTTTGATAGGAGTCTATATGGAGACCTACAGAACAAGCCATGCTCAGTGCTGGATTCTGATTGGATAGCTTTACATTCACATGCCAGGACAGATTTTACCAGATGTTCTTGCACGTCTTCTTTGGCTATTATGCTATGTTAGAGATTACAGGTCCTGGCAGACTTGGGCTAGGATGCTTCATTATACCTTGTGCCATTACTGTATTTGTTTACTCCTTCCTCTACAGCACCAAGAGAAAAAGCAAGAGTAAAACGCGGTGTGATACATAATAGAAGCAACAGAGCATATGGCCTTCCTCATACAAAAGCATTGACTCAAGGCTTTCCTTTGGGGATTCTGAAAACACTGGATGTCCTCATGCAAAGCATCGTTTCACAGAGTTAAACTCCATGAAACTGCATGAAGGGCCTCTGGTGGCCACTAGAGGCAGTCTTAACATTGCAAACATTACAGTTTCTCTATCACTGAATATGGACACTTCAATGAGATGATATGGTCTTTGTGCCTATAGTGTGCCAATATGTTAAAGGACCACTATAGGCACCCAGACCACTTCAGCTTAATGAAGTGGTCTGGGTGCCAGGTCCATCTAGAGTTAACCCTGCCTGCTGTAAACATAGCAATTTTAGAGAAACTGCTATGTTTACATATGGGTTAATCCAGCCTCTAATGGCTGTCTCATTGACAGCCGCTAGAGGCGCTTCCGCGCTTCTCACTGTGATTTTCACAGTGAGAAGACGCCAGCGTTCACAGGAAAGCATTGAGAATGCTTTCCGATGGACTGACTGAATGCGCACGCGGCTCTTGCTGCCAATGCGCATTCAGCCAATGACGTCGGAAGAAGGAGGAGAGTCCCCAGCGCTGAGGGAGCCCGGCACTGGAGAAAGGTAAGAATTTAACCCCTTCCTCCCCCTTCAGCCCGACTAGAGGGGGGCCATGAGGGTGTGGGGGACCTATTAACACTATAGTGCCAGGAAAACAAGCTTTAATGTTTTACATAGCACAAGCTATGCTACCAGATGTTATAAGGGAATTTTCTCAGTCAGTTCATGAAATTATTCATGTGTACCCTTCAATGATTGCTGAACCCAGGAAACATTGCATTCACAAATACATAATATTTAAAGCAAATTAATTTAGGATAACTAAGGCAACATTAAGTTCTCGAACCAGTCATTGAATCAGATCACTAATATATCTGAGAGAAAGTGACCCACAGATCAGAACATTCTATATAAACAAAAAGCCAGGACTAGAGTTGAGCGAACCCGAACTGAAAAGTTTGGGTTCGTACCGAACATTAGGTTTTTTTGGACCCTGGACCCGAACATGGACATATCACTGTATGTTTGGGTTGGAGTTCGGTGTTCAGTGATTTAATGGCGCGTTTTGAAAGGCTGCAGGGCAGCCAATCAACAAGCGTTTGACTTGTATGCCCTTAGAAGCCATCACAGCCATGCCTACTAATGGCATGGCTGTGATTGGCCAGTGCAGCATGTGACCCAGCCTCTACATATAAGCTGGAGTCCCGTAGCGCCGCACGCACATGCAGTCTTATTAGTGTAGGGAGAGGATGAGGGACAGCTTAGGGAAAAATTCTGCAAACTAGTACGTAAGTGGGGTGGGGTGCACTTCATATCTGAGAGTCAAATAGAAGCTTCAAATACCGCGGTTACATCGGAGTTTTAAAAAGTATTTTTTTTGGTGCTAAACAGTACATTAGCGGGGTAGTACATTAATGGGGTGTACTTCATATCTGAGAGTCAAATAGAAGCGTCAAATACTGCTGTCACATTGCAGTTTTAAAACGTAAAATTTTTTGGGGTCCTAGACTGCTAAATAGCATTTTACTGGGGTGCACTTCATATCTGAGAGTCAAATCGAAGCTTTTAATAGTGTGCTTACAGCGCAGTGGTAAACATTCTTATTTTCTGGGTGCTAATCTGCTAAATAGTACATTTTGGGGCCTGTTCTTCATATCTGAGAGTCAAATCGAAGCGTCTAATAGTGTGCTTACTGCGCACTTGTAAACATTGTAATTGATTTGCTGCTAATCTGCTGCTTACATTGGAGGGGTTTTTTTTGCGCTAAATAGTATATTTGGGGTGTTCACTTCATATCTGAGAGTCAAATAGAAGCCTCAAATAGTGCGCTTACTGCGCACTTGTAAACATTCTAATTGTTTTGGTGCTAAACTGCTAAATAGTACATTTTGGGGCCTGCTCTTCATATCTGAGAGTCAAATCGAAGCGGCTAATAGTGCGCTTTCTGCGCACTTGTAAACATTCTAATTGTTTTGCTGCTAAAATGCTGAATAGTACATTTTGGGGCCTGCTCTTCATATCTGAGAGTCAAATCGAAGCGGCTAATAGTGCGCTTTCTGCGCACTTGTAAACATTCTAATTGTTTTGCTGCTAATCTGCTAAATAGTACATTTTGGGGCCTGCAGTGCACTTCATATCTGAGAGTCAAATAGAAGCGTCTAATACTGCGCTTACTGCGCAGTGGTAAACATTCTAATTGTTTTGGTGCTAAACTGCTAAATAGTACATTTTGGGCCCTGCTCTTCATATCTACAAGTCATGCTACAACAAAATTAAACAAGTTTTAAAATATGTATGGGCCAACCAGTGGCTGTAAACAACAAAGTGTTACTGGTTACATTCATGACTACACACTCTAGTGAACAGGACCTTCATGTAGTGTGTTATTTAAAAAAAAAAAAATCATACAGCATCCATTTATGTGCTTTTCAGATGTCATATTGTGAATTACCAATTTTTGTGTAGCCTGATTTAGAAAAAAAAAAAAAAGTGAAAAGTAAGTGTTATTGTGATCGCTTCATATACAGAAGCATTAATATACATTTCTATATTGTGTAAAGACACAACTACAAAGTTAAAAACCAAACACCAAAACAACGTGCCAGACAATCTATCTGTGCATTGCTAGTTTGATACAATAAGTCTACATCTTAAAAATGCAATAACCCACAGAAGATGGGCGAGAGTTTTTTTTGCAAATGGAACTTTGATTCAAATTTACTACATCGGTCACTTGTAATATTGTTTCACACCTACAACACTTGGTACATCTAAATGATAGAAAACAGATTGATATTTTCTACACTATATAACAAGCTGCTATATTTAAACCAGTGATCAATAGCTAAGAGGTACTTCAATAATATTGTAATTCTGGGGCAATACCCTCACAAGTCAAACTGAGAGGTCAGTTTATAGGGAAAACTGTTGCTGAACCCGCTGGACCTGTGTGCGCTTTTGTCGTTGTCACCCTGCTGCTGCTTGCCTGTCTGCGCTACAGCATAACTTCGGCCTTCCCGCTCACCGCCTCATGAGACTTTGCAAGCAGCAGGTGATAATGGAGTTTCAGCTGCAGCACGCACGGGTCAGTGGCTCTGCACCAGACTTCCCTCCAATTGATCAGAGTTAAAGGATTTCAGGTGGACTCATTACAATTACAGGGCCTCTAAAGAGTCCTGTATTGTTATTTGTCATCACTACCTTCCCGCGTCGGGAGTGGGTCATTTGCGCGCCTGCTGCCTTCTTTGCATGTGGTAGCCATTTCTCAGGGTCCCTGTGCGGAATGGAACCCTGATTCCCCGTTACCCGTGGTCACCATGCTAGGCGCAGAAACTGGCATCGAAAGTTGATATGGATGACATCCGCATGCAAAGTCGCCGCCACGGGGAAGTGCGATTTGCCCGAGGTTCTCTAGAGTCAACAAAGTTTCTGCGCAACTATAATGTCAACAGCTACTCTGCGGAACAGAGTTGTCTTTTTTTATATGTCCCAATATTTTGAGGGCTACCCCAATTAAAAAAAATAATATATATATATACATATATATATATATATATATATATATATATACATATGAAACAAGGGGGGTTGGCTGCACTCACCTGAACATGCATAAATGGGGGTGCTGCTGGGGGCCAAATAATACAAAACACAAAATCCAGCGCACTCACCTATCCACTAAACAGCAACTTCAATGTTGAAAGATTTTATTAGTTTTTTTAAAAACACCTAATCTAGGCAAAAATAATGGGGGTTTAGTTACATTATATGATCATACATTGCATAAGCCTGCCACAACGTCAATGTACCCTATCTTTGGCAGGTCCTACACTAACAACCTAATGTCTGCTCTTATGAGATTAACCACTTACTTGAGGAAAAAAAAAAAAAAAAAATTCCATCTGGGGCTCTCTGCAGTACAAGGCTAAATAGGGCCCTGGGATGAGGCACCTGTGACAGGGAGGGGTGCAAAACCAAGGAGTTGGCTAGACTCCCAAATATATACATATAAAACAAGGGGGGTTGGCTGCACTCACCTGAACATGCATAAATGGGGGTGCTGCTGGGGGCCAAATAATACAAAACACAAGATCCAGCGCACTCACCTATCCACTAAACAGCAACTTCAAAGTTGAAAGATTTGGTTTTGCACCCCTCCCTGTCACAGGTGCCTCATCCCAGGGCCCTATTTAGCCTTGTACTGCAGAGAGCCCCAGATGGAATTTTTTCCTCAAGTAAGTGGTTAATCTCATAAGAGCAGACATTAGGCGTAGGACCTGCCAAAGATGGGGTACGTAGCGTTGTGGCGGAAACTTATACAGTAATGATCATATAGTAGCAACTAGAAGCCCCCCATTATTTTTGCTTCGTGTCGTGTTTTAAAACCATCTTCAACTTTTGAATACTAATGAATAAAACCAATGCGCTGAATCTTATATTTTATGTGTAACCCCCAACTTCTTTACCACTCATGTTCAAATGAGGCTCTTCTATTCACTATATACTATTTAAAGTCTAGCCAACTCCTTGGTTTTGCACCCCTCCCTGTCACAGGTACTTACTCATCCCAGGGCTACTTTAGCCTTGTACTGCAGAGAGCCCCAGATGGAATTTTTTCCTCAAGTAAGTGGTTAATCTCATAAGAGCAGACATTAGGCTGTTGTTGAAGGTGTAGGACCTGCCAAAGAGATGCAAATTTTTGTGCGTTGTGGCAGGCTTATGCAATGTATGATCATATAATGTAACTAAACCCCCATTATTTTTGCCTAGATTTAGTGTTTTTAAAAAAACTAATAAAATCTTTCAACTTTGAAGTTGCTGTTTAG